TGAGATTTTGATATGATTAAATGACAACAAAAATCTAATGGGTTAGGACAAAAGTTTGTTTACATTATTTTTAAATGAATTTCCAAAACAATATTGAGATAGTTGTATATAGATTCACTCAACCACATATGTACCATTTTGTTCCACCATATGTCGCCATCTTTGAGGCAGTTTTCATAACTGAATAATTCCTAGAACTTGTCATCTTTCTGTGTAGTGAACTGATCTAAGTGTTTTTTTACAGACTTCCAAAGAATTTAAGTTCTTTCCCTTTAGAGAATTTTCTAAGGATTAAAATAAGTGGTAATCCAAAGGTGCAAGTAGGACACCCCCCCCATGCCAAACTGTAAGAATTTCTGCCACATCTGCAAAGATATATTAGGTCTGTAGTTGTTCTCATGAAAGAGGACATTCTTTCAATTGGCCAATTTTGGATACAATTCATTGATTATTATATTTTATTGGTCCATTTGGGAGCAGTACTTCTTTGAATTCAACATCTGATTTAGCAGAATCTTGTAATACATAATACCTTTCCAATCCCATTACCTGTATATCTCCCTTCTTTGGATGCAAATCAGCTTTTGGTGTGATTAACATTAGCTCATTTTATTTTTTTCAGGACTTTTTTTTGCTCCACATTGTTGTAAACAATCCATCTTTCATCACCTGTCATTGTTCTTTTTAAAACCGGGTGATTTTTGTTGTGTTTCCACAGAGTCACAGTTGCAGCCTATTGATTTTTTTTTTTTCTTTTAAATTGTGAGGTACCCAATCATTGTAGTGATTCACATATTCAAGTTTTTTCAAATGCATTAACATGTTCACATGAAATGTGATGGATCTGTGCAATATCCCATATCATCTAACAATGATTATTTTTAATCAGCATTTCAATTTGATTGTCATCAAGAACTCTGTCTTCCAGATCAAAATTTCCATTTCTGAACCTAGTGAACTAACAAACTGTACTCTCAGCTATGGCACCATCTCTATAAATGGCACATATCATTTTTTTTATTTTCCTGAAATAAAATTTTAGCAAACTAGAAATGCTACTCATTTTCACTTTTAGCGTACCCCCCCCCCAAACTTAACATTCACACTGTACACACAAATCACATAGGATGACACATTAAATTTGCAAGTGAGAGAAAGAACAGATGTAGTAAAAATCCACAGTTCATAGCATTTACTTTCAAAAAAGTACTCAATACAAAGTAAAGCAAAATATTATTATTTTTATCATAAGAGATTATAATAAAAACATTTTGAAATCAATACACAAATGCTTTCAGGTTTCAATATTATAATTGTACTTCTTCAAGCAATGGTAAGTAACTGGTGATTAAATGATTCTTTTTAGGGAAACTTAAAAACAGTGTTACCTCTTTTAGTACATTTTAATTCTGACCTTATACCCCTCCCCTTTAACATTCAGAAAAGAGGTAACAATTTATTTTTAAATGTCTCTAATCATTTTATCACCAGTTACATACAATCGCCTGAGGAAGTACAATCATAATATTGAAACGTGAAATCTTTTGTGTAGCGATTTAAAATGTTTTTATTATAAACTCTTATAATAAAAATGTTATATACTTGAAGCGTAAGCGTTCTCAAAGCAAATTTGTGGCTTTCATAACACAAAGAAAGAAAATCACTTGTAACGCATCAGGAAAATAACTCACGAACGCCGTAGCCAAAAATGCTCGAATTTTCCTTCTTCGGCAGATCGCACACAAAACACAAACTTTTTTCCGGGGTACTTGATTATCTCGTTCACTACAATACTGTACATATGAATGCTAATGGGTATGTCCCAATCCTCATAAATACGTTGGACACTATTGTAAGTTGGGGTAATATGCTGTCTAAGTAGTCCACCAATAGCAGTGGTTTACCTACTTCACACTGCTGGCGAGTATTGTGTTTTGTTGATGTTATAAAGATTACCATTTCATTTCCAACCTCTATTTTCATTATTCCTCATTCAGTAAACTTTTCTAGGTTACAAAAAAAAATATACCAACACATTAAACTTGTATAAATGTGATAAATTTTAGTCACATCTGAACTGAAATCATGTCTTCAGATGCTACATATTGAAAAATGGTATGAACTTTTCTTTCAACCTAATAGTTTCTCATGACCAAACATCAAATGAACTTTTTCACTCAAACTTTCATTTATAGTTTCTTCAGATTTTTTTTCCAAATCAAATTTGGAAATCATTTAAACCCAGTTACTGATGACTTTTTATTAATTCCATTGTTTATCTGCTTTTTCAAGTTTTCTTTTTTGAGGTCATTGACTTTTGACTGCCATTGTTATGAGGAATGATTTCAGCAGCAAAATAATAAAGTCCCCAGTTTTGAACTTTGTTCAATTAAATAAAATATACCAGAATTCTGCGGGTGTCATTTTTGTTCCCCAACCATGGGGAATGAAGTTATTCATTGGTGCTTAATGAATAATCTTGTACAAATCTAATGCACTTATGTCATGGCATCTATCAATTGAGTAATTAATATATATATATATATATATATTAATTAAGGTGATTCTCAAATTGACCACTGATAAACACCAAACTTTTTGCAATTGGAACAATTAAAATTTGCTTGAATTTCTGGAATGAAGACTTCTCATTATTTTCACACAAATTGCCATCTTTGTTATCAAAATGTTTCAGTCATTGTGCTCTCCTCCCTTCATCAGGTGCTTAATGAATTCACAAGCAAACACCTTAATCCACTAGACAATAGTCTAGGGGATTAAAGTGTTGGTTCATGAATTTAATGACATAGTAATTGTGAGTTCAATCCCAGTACGAGGCAGTGCAGGCTTGGACTCAGTGTAAACAAAGTGAGCAATAACTTAATACTAAATAAGAACTAGATATCCCTGGACAGTGAGATGAGAATAATCTGTGTAGATTAAATGAAGGGCACAGTGGCTGAAATGTTATGAAAAGATGAAGATGAGCATCTTTATATAAATAATGAAATTAAAAAATACTTTGTCCTTTTAATCAATTTTTTTTTTTTTCTTTATAAATTAACATGATTTCCTAAGCTTAGTCTAATACAAGGTCACAGATATGGTTGTCCAGTGAGGTTTTCTCTTTAGATTCAAGGAATACCCAGAGAAAAGTCTTCCCATCTTCATGCAATCACAACAACAAATAAATTGATTGATGCTTAAATGGATGACTGACAAAGATTTTTACTTATTTTAATAAATCTAAATTCCTAAGGTGCAACAATTCAAGACATCAATATAATCATGTAGTTGTGCCTTCAGTGGGGGGGAGTGTAAATTTTTTTCAGATGACTTGCAAGAGAAAGTATACTGAATTTATTACTGTGCAATTGTTTTCATTCTTGACCAATAACTTTTTGTTGCATTTCTCGTATCATGTTACTAGAGGCCTAAATAGAAGACAAAAGATCTCTTTTGAACACTGGGTAGGCAACCATGATCCTTCCACTCTTCTCCTCCCTGTCTCTTCATTCCTCACCACCTTGCATTTACTTATATTCTCCTAACATGTTCACACAATATTTGCAGCTAAGAATTTTTACTTCTTATAAATGGAACTATCCCTAAAATATTGATTATCTTTAATCATGGGAGGCTGTGTGCAGGTTGGTTTTTTTCTTTTTGAGAAAATTTAGCAAAATTTCTTACACCTTCCCCTCCCCACACCACCACCACCAAATTCTTAGTGAATTCTCTCTAGACATCTCGATATTAAACTTTTACATTTGCCAAATGCTTCATTGCTTCATTTGGTAACTTCAATTCAGTCAAGTCTTTCACCTTTACAAGTGCCCTGATTTTTAAAAGTTAAAAAAAAAAAAAATTTAAATGACTCTTTTTAATTTAAAATAAATGTCTTCTTTGGGAAGGGAGGTGGGGAGGTACCGTTTTAAAATAAAAAGATGGAGTTGGAATCTTTTTCCTTGCGCAAACAAAATTCTAGTCTTCTAGATTTTTTATTGCAAATAAAATGTTTTTGTCTTTTTTTTTTTTTTTCATTATGTAAAATTCCCACCTGTGATTACTTCATCTTTGAAGTGTAAATAAATGATTGTGACTTTTCTTTGTTTCATTATTTCCTTGTGTTTTTTGCCTTTCACTCTTAAACAAATCAGTAAAAAAAAAATAGCTGTTTGAAATAGCTAAATGTTCCTTACTGTACAACTATTCACAATATGTTACCTGCTTTGTGTCTTCTTTGTTACTACTACTACTATTGGTATTGTTGTTATAACAACAAAATAAAGAAAGAGGAGAGGGCTCACTTATTTTCTACACAGGAGATTGAACTATAAATCTTCCAATATCATAAATAATTTTGGATTGTCTAAAAGCAAATAATAATAATGTTGCCTGTGTCAGAATATTTGATCTTCATATCTATTTGACTAACAAAACCTGTTTGTATTCTTGTTTGATTATTTGTTTTACTGTGTCATTGAAAACAACCTTTTATGATAATGAAAACTGTTTCTTTGCTAGTCATGGGATTGTAATATTGTCTCAGGATCTTTTTCATTTTCTTTACTGCTAATTGAATTTTGACATTCTGAAAATCTTGGATGTTTGTTTTGAATTCTCTTACATTCAACTTCATTATCAAATTGATTGGAATACTGGAAACCATTTTCCAGTTGATCTCAACTTCTCCATTTCTTAAGTTTATAAAGACTTGTAAACAAAATTTACTTTGGTTGACTTAAAAAAAAATTTTGTCACTGCAATATGCATAAAATCTGAACATTTTGCAAACTAATGAAGATTCTTTGAAAATATTTAAAGGATAAATTTAACCAAAATGAGCTTGTTTGTTCCACGAAGTAATTTTAATTTGATCATAATTTGCTGAAAATATTTAAAATAATTTTGTTTTATTTTCATTTTTCTTTCTGTAGAGTTCAACAGCCAGTTATGAAGTGACCGTCATTGGAGAGGCACATGGCCTTATCACGGATATGCTGGCCGAATCTAATCTGCCCCCCAATATTGTCAGTGGCCTGAGAGCTGTCAGTAACTTATTGAAGCCACCTGAGAACCATAATTCTATTCACAAAACCAAAGTCAGTCCACTGGTTTCATTAAATGAAACCACATCTTATGGATCAGATTCTGATGATCTACCTTACACAGGTGAAAGACCAACATCATTACCAAAGGTAAGAACAATATTACGTCATCAGATAGGTTTCAATTTTTCATTAATATTTTCAAAATTAAGCTCAGAAGGATGAACCTTTACATTAAACTTAAAATATTTAAGAACTCTTTTTAGAGGAAGTATTTTACTATGTTATTACTATCAATATTATTGCTTTATTTTTGTGACATTCTTGGTTGATATTTTCAGTGAAAAGTCGGAAAACAATGATCTGCTATTTTGTTTTCTTATTAATTACTCAGTTCAAAAACTTGTAGAGACTTAAGTGATTACCAGGAACTGTCAAAAACTACCGCATATTTCCATGTATAAGACAACCTTTAAATCCCAAAAGTCACCCTTAAAAATTAGGGGTCTCTTTATATTACAATTCTAAAAAAGTAACCTTAAATTCTGAATGATGTTTGTTGGTAGGCTAACCTCTACCTCTGTGTGATAACCAATAACAGATGAAAAAATTCACATTATCAAATAAACTGATAATAAAAGTAATAAAACCATTTCTACCTTATATATTAATGGCATGACTTAATAATAAATTGCCTATTTGAAGAATAATTCCATATCAATGAAATCAACTTGTATCCATTCAAGCTCAGCTGAGAAAATGTAAACATCGAATTATGATTGTATTCACAGCAACCTTTATCTTTCACTAAACTTTCAATAATCATCATGGTAGTGTTAATTATGGCAGTAATAACATTTAGGATAATATAATATTCATTTCTCATTAAAAATTCATTATTATTTTGGTATTAAATAATAACACGATTTAGGATTACATACCACCTTTATTTTTCAAATAAAAGTCCTTTTATGGTAATTGCATTTAAAACTTTTAGGATATTATAAAACTATTTATTTCCCATCAAGTTATCAATATTAATAAAACAACCCTATTGTATATTATCGTACTGTTATTAGCAGTATTTTGTGATTGCCAATGGAGTTTAAGTAAATGGCCATTAGTACACCAGGTTGTTTGTAACTGTTTAAATATAGGAAAAGAAGAAGAATCAGTATTCACAAGAGATCACGTGAAGAAACATAAACAAAACAATGGTTTCCCTTTTAGGGGACGTGTAGGAAAAACATATAGAATCAGTTTTGTTATTACATTTATTTTGAATTTCTAAGGCTACAGTAAGTAACAACATTTCAAATAACATCATCTTTATATAATCAATAAGTAGTCAGCATACACTACAGGTATAGGATAAATTCATTTGTTTTTACCTCGTCTTTTCTAAAGGCCACCTTATATGTGGAAATATACAGTATTTTCTTTCTGACAGATCTTGTCAGGAAGGAATGACTAAAATTTCAAGTCTCAGTTTTAAATGTTTGAATTTAATGTTGAAAACTTCCAATGCTTAGAATTTTATAATCTGCTACTTCAGACGAGAAACAGATTGAATGAAATATTTTATATCTTGTAGAATAAAAAGAAAAAATAATCCAGATAATGAAATAAAATTACAGAATAAAATTTTAAATATCACATTAGTTTGTTATATTCACATATATGCAAATACCCTTGGTAGAAGTATGGATTAAATAGCAAGGTACACTGGATCCTCTAGCTGTGGTTGGCAATCCATCTAGGAGAAGGACAACTTCGAATTCCAAACTATGCCGAGACCTGACACTGTCAGATCCATATAATGGATTATGCAACTTTTGCATTTTTTGTATAAGCCAAAAAAAAAAAAAAAATCAGATCCTTCTTTAAATTTTCATTTGATATTAATGACCTATAGAATGGTGTACTGAAAAGCTATCTCCTTGACTAAAACAAAACCTTCCAAAAGAAAAAAAATCATTTTTGATTAGATTTTGGGGAAAAACTCTGGCTGAAAAACTCTTCAGCAGCACACTTTCATATATAATGTGCCACATGTATTTGCAATTTTGTCTATCACTTTTGTTTGTACAAGAGTTATCTCCCTTTCACTGGAAATCCTTGGTTGCTGTATTGTCTTAAGATAATGACATAAAGTTCTAAGAGCTTTTATAAAGTTTAGACATACAACAATTATTGGATAAAATAAATGTAAATCCATTAAGTGCCTTTCATTTATGATAATTGTCTTGGTTTTAATAATATATAATGCATATATCGAGAATAGTTGCAAAACATTTAAGTCATCATCATCACTGAAATTTCTGCTCAAATTCTTTGTCCTAATAAAAAACTATGTCTGGTCTTCTTGGTTTGGCCAGAGTTTGTTTCTGAGTCAAATGTTTATTCCTCTATCTCCTAGCATAGGCTAGAGTGGATATGTATGTGTGTGCATGCACCTATCTAACCAAACCCCCTCCCCAACGTCTCTCTCTCTCTCTCGCTCCCCCCTCTCTCTCTTCCCCTCTCTCTCCCCCCCTCTCTCCCCCTCTCTCTTCCCCTCCCCTCCCCCGGTCTCTCTCTCTCTCTCCTCACATATGTCAAGATGGAGGTCAACCTTATATAAACTTTGTTTCAATGTCTGTTGAGCTATTTTCATGCCAATCATTCAAACTGGCTAAAATATCTTTGCTGCTGATCCTTGGAATTGTTCTTGACGTCTATGAAAAACTTTCTCCCTTACAACACAAACATAGTGCATTTCATTCTTTCTCCTTTGACAGTTTCTTGAATTCCTTCTCAGTGCTTTTCTAGGCTTTCTCTCCCAGCCCTCATTGTACCTAACCTGGTGTCCTCATCAAGTTTTTTAATCTCTGGCCAGTTGGCCATGCTGTAAGTCTTTCATAAAATTCATCTTGAACGTGTTTTTTGTGATCAAAGTGAATCTAATTCTTCAAGGAAATAGTTTTTGTTTCATTTTATTTTTTCACCATATTCCTGATGTTGGTTTCTTTTATTATATGCCAGTTTGACACAAAACCCAAAAATGTAGCTTCCTTTAATGAAAATATTTTTGAAAATTACCTTTTGCAGGTGTGTGATTAACTTTGAGATATTTTTAAATTGATGTTATTTCTTTATATCGATGTCAAATATTTTAATATTATTATATTTTTTTTTTATTATCAGCTGGTAATTGAAACGGTTATAATGTGATGGGGAAGGTTTTGCTACTTAAAATGATTGGACAATTTCAATGTATCTATTTTGAAATATGATCACTACCTTCCTCCTCCCTATTTTTTAACTTGTCAAATCTGGGGAATAAAATATATTTTGGGTCAACATAGCAACTGATTTAACTCCTCTCACTCTCTTTCCTTTTCCCCTTTTCTCTTCCCCCTCCTAATTAACCTTATATTGAAATCTCTGTCTTTCTCCCCCCTTTTTTCTCCCCCCTTTTTTCTCCCCCTTCCCCCTTTTTTCTCCCCCCTTCCCCCCTTTTTTCTCCCCCCTTTTTTCTCCCCCCTTTTTTTCTTTCCCCTTTTTTCTTTCCCCTTTTTTTCTTTCCCCTTAACTGTTTACTTTTCTTTTCTCTTTTCTCTTTGTGTCTGAATAAATTGAACTCCATTTAATTTGTAAAATTTGGTCTGAAGAGATGGACATCTGAGTCCACAAAATAAATTATCAGCTGAATGGATTTTTAAGGATTCTGTATAAGAACTAAATTTTTCTGGTGACATGTTTTGTCCTTTAGAACTTCATCAGATTAAAATGATGCAACTGCATCTGGTCTCAATGGTTTTATTTAATTCCCTTTTCTTTTTGTTTATGCTTTGTTTATGCTTTGTTTTTTGTTATTAATTATCCCACATTGTCATAATAGAAGATCTGCCAAAAAAAAAAAAGGTGAAATGTTGTAAGAACCCGAAATTTACTGTGGATGATCGAGCAATTAAAACATTTTCTGTACATTTTCATCTTAGTAAATTGTTTGCTCTTTTAATTAAAGTAGCATTTTTTTTTTTTTTTTAAAGTCAAAATATATCGCTCATTATGGTGATCAACTAATGCATTGAACTTTATGAACCTAAAACATATTTAAAAAATAAATAAATAAAAAATGAAATAGCCTTAACTAAAAAAAAAAATTTAAATATAAAATTTTAGCATCCCAACTCCTTCATGTGCATGAGTGATCATGTTAACATTAACATCACTTTAGTCTGAAGTCCTAAAGAATGAAATGGGTGTTGTAACTTTGTCATAGATTTTCCCTAAAATAGTTCTTGATATTTAAAAATTTATATCATTTTTTATATATATATATATATATATATATATATATATATACACACACTTTTAAGCTCAACATTCATATATCTGTGTGTTTCTGTCTCCTGACTCACTCAGATTTGCCCCGTCAGGGGAAGGCCCCACTTAGTATCAAGAATTACACGTTTTTCTTTTGCCCATCTACTATTGTCTCCGTTCTAGTGAAGTACCACTTCTGCCATTACCCAATTATTTCAACCCTATTCACTCAACTGACTCACCCACTGCAACACTTGCCGCTTCGTCATTTCTTTTCGCCACCCCCACCTCCAGTTTCATGTCCATTCTTGAGGATTTCACATGAACATTCCTGACCAACTTTGAAACCAACCAACTGCCCTTGTTTTTAAAAACCACACACACACACACACACAGTGTCTTCTTGCTGACCCCTCCCCAGCCACTCTGACTCCCTTTTCGACCCCAAGTCAAGGGTTTGTACATGTCACACTGGGCACTTTATAGGTGATGTAATGGTAACAGTTCCAGACTATACCAAATGTTGTTTGAATATATTTTTTTTGAAAATAGACAAATTGCATTTCATAAGAATTTTTGTTTCTAGTGAAGAAAATCAGTAATTTTCATTTTATTTTTATGGAAGTTTCTACAGATTTTTGTAATTATTCAATGACTTTTAAAAGCAGATATATTACTTGGACTTGTCCAGTCATTCCAGTGATGAAATGAAAATTCCTTGGTTGATTTTTTTTGTTTTTTTTAATTCTAGAATACAGATGAGGATTTCAGTTCAATAAAACTAAGTGTATGGAATATTTTTCTGTATCTTACAAATCTTAAAAACATCTACATTAATATCCAATATGGTAGCAAACTGTCACTTGTTTTTTTTTTTTTTTCTTCAGTTTTGCACTTCCCTTTCTCTTCAGTTTTTTTTTTTTTTTTTTTTTTTTTTGGCACTTCCCTTTCTCTTCAGTTTTTTGCATTTGAATTTTTGTTTTCAAGGCACTCATGAAACGTTTTATTGTTTCTATTTTCAGCGCCTGCGGCGCAGTTTACCTCCCAATCTAATCCGTCGTATGTCCACCAGCACATGGACAACCACCACCTCAGCTACTGGGATGCCCACACTCGAAGCAGAGCCATCTCATATTCGAAGTTCCAGTTTCCGACAGACTCGCGACTGGGCTGTACCAGGTGGCAGCCCCTCAGGCAGCCGTAGTAACAGCCCTTCGCCTAGCTCCCCTGCCACTCTGGTGCTGACCATCCCTAAGTCACGGTCCTTTTCAGTAGCCAGTACAGCACCTAACAGCATGGGACACCAGCGAAGAACTTCAAGAAAAAATGTCATGCCCCCGTCATCCGCCTCCTTGGACTATCCAAGCCTTAGTCCGACAAAGCATGAGAGCACAAATATAGTGTCATCAAAGTCCGAGGCAAACACAGACAGCACTGATGCCAGTAAGGTAAGCATCAGTAAAGACTCTCAACCTGTACCTTTGCGTAGGTTGGGCAACATCACTTCTGACTATGAGAGCAGTGACTCTCCCAGCAGCAGTGATCACAGTGATAATGTCATGACTCTAGAGGAGCTCTCTGCTTCCCCACCCACAAAAACGGGATGTCGTCTAGAACCTAGCAGTAACACACCTAACAACCACCACATTGCAGCTGTAAGTATACACTCTAATCCATTGCTTTACCTTTGCTTTGCAATATCTGCATGTGTTGTGCATCACCAACCACAAGGCTCTCTTTCTTAGGCCACTCGACATACAAGTCACAATTTCTGGCTATGCAGAAATTTCAGTCAAGCCACTTTGAAAATTGGGCTTCATGGTGAAACCATTTCAACCCCCATTCTGAAGTTTTCACAACAAAAACTGCAAAATCTAATAAACATATACACAGGTTGGCACCGATAAGTTGTGGTCCAAAATGTCTATCCATGGTTTAGATCAAAAGTGAGCTGTGATGTCAGGATTGCCAGCTTAGACCACCAAAACAAAGCTTGTCAAGTCGATGGTGTTATCCATGAAAATGGGTAACAGTGGCTAAGCATGCAAAATGCATATTCTATACTAAAAGTTGAATATTGGCAGTTTTGAAAAATATTCATTAAAACTATCCTTTAATTTCACATAAAAATCTGCACCAATATGAATGAATTTGAAATGGCCTAAAATGATTCCAGTTATAAAGTGCCATGTCAACAGATCCATCATCGATGACAGTAAAAGATGGCGGAAATCTTGCACGCACAAGATTTTAACAAGAAAAAAATAAAATTAATTTTTTATAGTTTTTATTAATATTTTGAATAAAAACATTACAGTACATTGTATTGTAATGTATTAATAAAAATAATATAACAATACAATGTAGTAACATCTATGTACAAGCACAGCTTTCTATGCAATGTAATGATACAATACAAATTTTATGAAATCAATATGAAACAACATTTTTAATAAATTTAAATGTAAATAATGGAAAATAAAGTTGATAATAACACTTTATTTAAAAAAAGTCAGTAATAGAGAGTTGCTTCTTCTTGTCAAAATGTCTGCGAATTGCTAATCCAAACCACTACACAATAGTAAATGCCTGGGAAAATACGAATATACTGAAGGTATTAAAACTTAATTTAATGAATTTATTAAAATAAAAGATTATACAGAAAAAATCTGACATTAAAATGTCGCAATCAAGTTTGAATTTGTTTCAAATTGGGATCCACTGATGATTATGATTCTAATATGAACATGACAAAAAATTTGGGGACCCATCACGCATGTGCAGCTTAAACGACATCATGGTTTATTGGTGCGTAGCTTAATGGCATTGACCTGTGTGTGTATATACATATATATATATATATATATATATATTCATAGTGTATTGGGGCAGCAGATCATTATTCAAACATATTTGTTAAATATAACAGACAATGAATGTCTTATGTTTGATCATGAGCCATTCTAAACTTCATATGGTTGCTTTAATTTTGAGAAAAAATAAACACAAAGACTGTCCAACATTTGGATATTTTATTATGCTGTTCCTTGATCTAAGCTTTCAGCTCACATGAACCATCTTCAGAGTGGTTGTATGAAAATTTAAACAAAGATCTTCACCATCAATGATGATATTCTGTTATGTTGACATAGAAGATTGCTATGCGGTGATAATGGTCATGGAATTGCAGACACAGATTGTAAATTCATGATGCAGTACTATAACATATCATGTGAGAGACTGAAATATTAACAAGAGGACCATATGTCTAGCTGTCACCTGAAACTAAAGCAATCATATGAAGTTTAGAATGGCTCCTGATCAAACATAATAGACATTCATTGTCTGTTATATTTAACAATATATGTTTGAATAATTTAAAAGTGGACACTGAGGTGAACACCATAGCCTGAAAATGGTGTTCAAGCATGAAACAAATTGTAACCGTCTGGTGTTGACTTCAGTGTCCATTTTTATGATTTTATTTCTATATATTTTCTACTCCTGTTGTTGATCCATAAATATAGCATCCTTTTAATTTTATCATATATAAAATTATGACTTACGCAAACTGAACAATTCAAAGCTGATTTTAAAACTTTGTGTCGAGTTTATTAAAATTGGTCAAAATAAACATCTGCTTAAATAAGTTGACTGCACAGATTAGCTTGAATGCATGAGAAAGTTAGATTTACATAAAGAGCTTTTCTTTTTGTTAGTATCCTGATTCAGGACATAATGCATGACATACTACAGGCCTACTTGTAGTGCAACTAATGGCCAAAACTGGAGGCCCATTTCAAAAATGGGTGAACTAGACTAAAATTCAGCATACTTTTTAAATACCTTTTTTTACAAAAAAAAGTATTTTTATGAATAAAAGTATGAAGAGGAATATTTGTGACAAGTGATGGCATTTTTAAATTTTTTGTCAGGATTGAAGAAAAGCTTAAATATTTTAGAAAACATTAAAATTAATTTTCTCAAGATTCTTTGTAAAAAGAAAGACTAGAAAAAATGAAATTATGCATTTTTTTGGTTAGAGCATAATGCCTTATTTAAATTTATTTATTTATTTTTTAATTATGTCATGTAAAAAGTTACATTATGATATCAGAACTCTGATACAGTTTTAACCTCCTTTTTTTTTACCTTTTAAAAATTGAAATATTTATTAAGTAAAAAAAGACAAAAGCAATGAAAGTCTATCATTAATGTATCTACATTTATGAAAGATGTTAAATAAACTTCTAAGTGACAAAACCATTATTTCTAAATTCCATTTTTTTTTTTTTTTTTTTTTTTTTTTTTTGAATTTCACATTTTAGTTTTCTTTCAATAAGCATACAATAATATAGGAAATCCAAAGGAAATAAATAAAAACTTAAAATTCATTGAACTTAAACAGACTACTGCAGTGAACTGAGACAAACAAAAACTGAAATATGTCACTTTTGAAATAGGTCTCTGGTTTTGGACTTAGTTGCTGTTGTCATGAAATAGGAAAGGTTGATACACATATAGAAAATAAAAAGTAGTTTATTTCTAAGAATAATATTGTACACAGTTGAGAACACAGACTAATGTAATAAACAGTTAATCATTAAAAGAGTATGCTGTTCAAGTAGTCTTAATCAGTAAGTCTATCTTGTGGGAGGTGTTCAGCTACTCCACAACAGTTGCACTATAAGTAGGCCTGTAGTATAGAATACCATAACATAATGTCTCTAAGTTCTTCTTTTTTTTTTTTTTTTTTTTACCTTGCACTTAACATATTTCTTTAGATTGTTAACAGTTGCCTATTACTGCTGCATTGTATTTAATTGACTTTAAGAGAACATTTTCTGTTTGATCTCTTGCCTTTTTGTTGAAAGATTAATGCACACTTCAGCAAACTGTCAGCATTTTTTATCATTTTTTTTTTTTATTTTATTTTGCCTTGCCACTTGCACCCAGGAAATCTTGTTTGGTTTGAGTGTATTAAGTCCCTTAGTCATCAAACCAAGAGCCTTGCTCATACAATGTAGAGGCATGAACACACAGCCATTTTAACTGACTTGATTCCTTTTTTTTTTTGTTGTCTGTTCTTCATATTCTTCACAATATCAATTTGCCTTAATTCAATAAAAGATCAGTTTACCAAATCAAAGAAAAATTATGCCTAACTACTGTGTCTAGAAAAAGCTTCTAACCTGCTTGGAAAATCAGTTTTTTCTTTGGATTCATTTGATTCTTGTTATTAAATGCAATCTCAGGATTTTCTTTCTCTCAAAAGAAGGACAAAAATGTGAATTGCCTCTTTAATTCTATGATTTCATCCTAATGTCATTTTCTGAAAACAAAATTAGACTCCTTTTAATAAAATACATTTCTCCTTCTCGAAACATTTCTGATTAATTCACCAAGTTTAGAATTACATGTAAAATTAACACATTATAGATCAAGAATTATTTTTAATTTTGAAATGTTCAATATTAAAAACTATTTTTTTTTTTTAACCTTTAATATGGAATTCTCATTTCTTTTAGCTTGAAGAGAAAAGCCAAGAACAAGATTTCCAAAGTGAAAATGAAGCTGCATTGAAGTTCACCCTTAAAAAACCACCTGACGTCACAGACTTTCCTTATAATCCTGAAGATGTTGAGAAATGTCCCCAACTTTGTATAGAAAAATTGAATGAATGGGATTATGAAATATTTGAACTGGCTAAAGTTTCTGGTAATTTCATCCTTAGTCAGGTGAGATTTTGTTTCTTTTTTGCCGTTTGCCAATTCTATGTTAGTTTTTCATTACTTTCATTAAAAGACCTTGTTTGCCATTTCCAAACAAGAGTTCTTTTACGCTTCCTTTGGCCATTTTTTTCTCTGATTAAAGTTGACAATCATTATAATAAAAAAAGAAACTCATGATTGTATGCCTGCAAGTTACAATTCCAGTGGAATTGTATGTATAAAATAGAAAAGGGTCTGCACAAATCCAAAGAATCTGCAATATCATAAGTCCTGACCTGGCATCTCTGCTTCAGTCACTTTCAAGGTTCACCTTTTCTATAAATATTTTTGTGGTAATTTTTATGATATGTTTTCCTCTTTGTTACCTCAATTTTATGAACTTCAGCACAGTACTAGATTGGCAGTTAGGTCTCATCATTTTAGAGTAGAACCTGCTCAGCATAAGTTCTATTCTAATAGTTTCTTCTCTTACCTGTGGAATTCTCTTCTGGGCTCTGGCTTTCCTGTCAACTACAATCTTCAAAAATGCTAATGCAGCATTAATGATCATCTTGTGTCTTCTTGAATCCTGGTCTTTTAATGCACTCTCTCTCTCTCTCTCTCTCTCTCTCTCCCCACTCAATGTTTTCTTAGTTTCTTTCACTCTCACTAACCTCCTTGTATCTTTCTTAGTGGCTTTAAAAAAAAAATACATCAATAAATGATCAATATCTTATCAAATATTTATTTGAAAAATAAAAATTAAAAATATCCCAATGAAGTAAAATTATTTTAATTTTGTCATTGATAAAAAAAAAATTAAAGAAATTTTTTTTTTTCAGTTTTGCTATTGAAAATTTCTATAATAATCAAATGCATATACTTTGCAAATTTGATAATTTTGTATTCAGCTTTTCATCAGTCATTTCCTGTCATGAATGACTTGCTTTCATTTAATTTGTCCAACCAATTTAATTCCAACATTGATCTGCAGCTTTTTCCTTTAAGAATTTAAGGCAGATTGCCCCTTAGCCCCCAACCCCCTGCTCTGCTAAATCATAATTTTAATATTAAATAAGCAACAAAAATCCATCAGTCACCACCTTGGAGTTCTAAGTCTTGTTTTGCCCTCACACTTAACACTTATTAACAAATGTGAAGGTTTTTTGTTTTTTTTTGTTTTCTTTTTTCTCAAGTCTTCCCCATTTTAAAAAGTTTAATAGAATTTTTGAGAAACTCTCAGAAAAAAATATCTTCTGATTGGTTGACTTTAATGACAAAAGATGAAATCGGAAAATTAATAGTTAAAAATTGCTAAGTTCTTAATTTTTAATTTGAAATGATTGTCATACACTAAGTATTTATCTATTCCCAAAATTCTGTAAAATATTTAATCTTGATAGACATTTTTTCTATTTTTGGAAAATGCTTAAATCCCCTGCAATTCTTGACATATTGTCATCACCGTCTCCATCTCTTTTATTTCTTCTGTTTGATTTAAAGAGTACTGTAAGGAACAATTTTCTTTTGTCAGACAAGTGCCTCTTAATCCTGAATTCTCTTTCAGGTTGCCTACAAACTTTTTATGGAGGTGGGACTTTTTGAAACTTTCCGCATTCCACTGAAAGAATTCATCTGTTACTTCCATGCATTGGAACTGGGATATCGGAACAAACCATGTGAGTTAGTTACATTAATATTAATTTCCTTTTTTTTTGTTTTTTTTTCTTTTGTTTTTTTTTTTTTTTTTTTTTTTTTTTTTTTTTTTTTTTTTTTTTTTTTTTTTTTTTTTTTTTTTTTTTTTTGTTTTTTTTTTGTTTTTTTTTTTCTTTTTTTCTTTTCTTTTGTTTTTTTTCTTTTTTTTCTTTTCTTTTTTTTTTTTTTCTTTTTGTTTTTTTTTTCTTGTTTCTGATAAGGCATTGAAATTTGAAATCTATATTCAGACTTTTTTTTTTTTTTTTTTTTTTTTTTTTTTTTTTTTTTTTTTTTTTTGTTTCTTCCTCCAGGAAGCATCAAAGTTGAGTTCTCAATTATTTTTTTTTTTTTTTTTTTTTTTTTGTTGTTTTCAGATCACAACAGAGTTCATGCCACTGATGTATTACATGGTGTCTATTACTTAACCACACAACGCATCCCTGGCTTTCAGCAGTGCTCTATAGATCTATTTAATAGACATGGCTCCTCCAGTGAATCAGGTGAACTGATTATTTTTATGTCATTCTTTCCTTTAAATTAATCATCTGTATAAATAAATTGCAAATGCATTTCTATTAAACTTATAAATGCCAACTTGACAATTCATTTTTGTTCACTAGTATTTTTTTTTTTCTGAAAAAGATTTTTTCACTCCCTTTTTGGAATCTAAACCTCATGCCTTCCATACGATCTAAGGGCTGTGAAGAAAATGGAAAATTTAAGGATTTTTTTATTGATCCTACCAACAGATGCTAACGAAGATAATTTTTATGTACAGAAGCCTAAAAGGAAAATATTCTTGCATTGTCTTTCTTACCAAGAAAAATCCCAATGTTACCTTTTTTTTTTTTTTGTTACTATTCAACCTGTTAATGACAACAATCTTTGATCTGGAACAAGGATTCAAGAGAAAGTTTGAAATGTCTCCATTTTCAGACCAACTTGCTATTAAATCCTAACTACAAACACCATAAATTGAGTTTATAGACAACAAGAAAAATAAAATGCAATTTACTATTTTTTTCTTCTTTTTACACTTCCATAATTTAAAATTTGAAGTTTTGTGTGGAGACGAAAAAAAGTCCCTCCCCCAACAACTGGACCTATTTCTTACCTCCAAAAACAGATGCAGTAAATATTACCATTCGTAGAATATTTCAAATGATCACTTCATGACTGAAATCAACAAATGGAATATCAAGGATGAGCAATCTTTTCTACTTGTTGCTAATTTCATTGAAATCCTAAATAAAAAATGAAGTTGGAAAAAGTATATTGAATTCTTTAAGACAGTTTTGTTTCCTGTTTATTAAAAAAGAAAACAAGTATTTTTTTTCAAATCTTTTTTACATTTAATCTGCTTTTGTTTCTCAGAAGCATTCAAAAAGGTCTCTAACTAAACAAGTTTGTTTCAATTTTCTTTAAATTTTGATTTTTCTTTATCTTTCAAAGATTTAAGATGGCAGTACAAGCCTAGTAAATTTCTTTCTCCAAATAGTTTGACTACTCTCAAATTTAATGATAGCTTTCAAAATTATTCTCTAAATAACAGTATCTGTCAAAAGAAATCATCAATTTTTCTCTAAGGCAGAAAATTGACATTTAATCTTCAAAATGTATTGACCCTTTGTCATATGGTAACATAACGCTGACTTTGATCCTGTTAAAGCAAGTTCGGTTCCCAAACAGAAATGAATTTGTCAGTTGATCTACATACTTGTAAAACTACTCTATCATGACCAGATGAATCAAAGAAACTTATTTGTAAACAATACAACCATAAAACATAATCACTTTAATAAAATTCTCTTATTGTTAGGATAAAGGAACAATCCATTGTTGTAGCAACAAAAAGTTTGTGAATCTGATTACCTCAAAACAACAAATGGATACTCTTCCTTATCAAATCAATAAGGATTGTTCTTATACAGATTTTTGTCTAATTGTTATATATTGACTTTTTGGCAAACATGGACCTTCATGTCTGCAAAAATCATTGTTTCAAAAGTACAATTTGGGGGGCAGGTTTTCCACATGATACCACTTTTGTTTTAACTACTTTGGCAGTGTTTTAAAAAGCGAGGAGATTAGAATTGTAATAAAACCTAAGCATATGATGAAAGTGAATTTTTTTGTTGTTGTTGTTGAGAATTTACATCAAATTATTAAACACGATTTATTTATTAGATTGTTTATTTACAAGAATTAATTTTATATTTACAACATTGTCAGAACTAATACATTTGTATTAAGACTAATACAATACAATATTTGACATTTACCAATTTCTAGAGAAAACAATTTTTTATACATAAATTTATAAAAATGTACTAATTATTAAAATATATGAACCAAATAGGAAATCCTTATTATTTACCATTTTATAAAGTTCCAATCAATTGGCAATTAGCCAATCTTTTACTAACAATTCTAATAAACAATATAATTGTGTAAATAAACAATCTAATAAATAGCGTTTATTATTTTAGTTGACAATTCTCAAGAATGGAGAAATTGTATAAATTCACTTTCATCATATGCTTAGGTTTTATTACAATTCTAATCATCACTTTTTAAAACAAACATTGCTGAGGAGTGAAGGTAGTTAAAATAAAAGTGGTATCATGGGGATGGAAAACGTCCTTTTTGACACTCCATCTGTTTTCATATGTGCACAAAAGTCTGTTTGCTGACTTTTTTTTATTACAGAAACAAAAATAGATAGAAAATTTATCCAACTACAAGAAATGTCACTTTGCTGTTAACATCAAAATTGTTTTTCAAAAATGTCTGAAGAATAGGCTTCTTTTTTTTTTTTTTTTCTTGTTTTTTTAAAGACAACTATAAAACCAATTCCTAAGAATCAATTGTAAGCGGATCTCGTTTCTGTGACTAAGGGAGGGGAGATTACTATTTTGTTTTTTATTCTTTTATTAAAAAACAAGACGCAGCAACTGAAGTTATTTCCCTTGCATCAAGAACATCAACAATGGGCATTAATTTCAGTTCCGAAATTCTCAAAATATCAAATTTTTCCTCTAAAAAATGCAGCAGGAATTGTTGTTAATTCTATTGTGTAGATATCATTTTTAAACATTGAAACGAGTGTAACCTGCTCCGTGCATTCCCTGAATTTGTCAAATTTCTATAAATTACAAAACATTTCGACCAAGATTTTACTAAGTGTCTCCTGAATTTTCTCATTCCAGACATTTTCCCTTTAAAGACATTTTTTTTCTTTTTTTTTTTTTTCCTTTCCTTAGTTCAAATTGAACACTTGCCTCCCCTGATGAGTCTAGGAGTCGGGAGGTGGGGGGGGTCGTCTTGAGTTTCTGACAATAACTTTTCAATTTTTCGCCACAGAATCGGATTCTACCGACAAATGTGGGCATACCCATCGAGCACGGAATGACCTTGATGATAGCTACGGCATCATGGGAGCCAATTTTCCTGCACTCGAGTTGATGGCCCTTTATACTGCTGCTGCTATGCATGACTATGATCATCCCGGTCGGACCAATGCATTTTTGGTAGCTACGCATGCACCTCAGGTAAGTTTTGCTTTACATTTTACAAATTCAGCAGATCATCATGTGCCATAAAATCTGACAAGTCTTGCACTTCGAGAGAATATCGTAACTTGTCAAATTTCTTAACCTAAATAATTTTTTTTTTTTTTCTTAGTAACCTGCTCTTCCATAATAGACAACAAGATTTTATGAAAACTATTTTAGTCATCTTCAAATAACTCTTCATCCCCAATTTTTTTGTTCAACAGGCTGTCATGTACAATGACCGTTCCGTACTAGAGAATTATCATGCAGCGTCTGCTTGGGGTCTCTTATTACAAGATGAGAGGTACAACTTTCTCTGTGGGTTAGACAAAGCAGAGTTCAAAAGATTCCGGTTTTTAGTCATTGAAGCTATTTTGGCCACAGATTTGAAGAGACATTTTGAAATTCTTGCTCTATTTAATGCTAAGGTAAGTCTCTGTCTCTCATCTTTTATTCTATAAAATTATGAAATAAACTAAAATTAAGTGACATGTTAAAAACAAACTGAATGAATATATACATACATATATATATATATATATATATATATATATATTTATAAAATAAAAAAGGCTCCAGAGTAAAAGTCTGAAACAATTCCTGAATTTGTCTTTTGTACAAATTTTCTGTGGCATTGTTTATAGAATTTAACATTTTATAGAATTATTTTATTTAAAACATTTCACTTCGTGATTACAGTTCAATAGATTTCCTGTTTTTTTTTTGTAAAAGAAGTTATTTTCAGATAGTGTCATGTGTAATTGCAACAAGTGACCTATTTATTCTTCAGGTGAATCATGAAGAAGGTACAGGTATTGAATGGAATTCTGAAGCAGACAGGTTACTTGTCATGCAGATGGTAATCAAACTGGTAGATATCAATGGACCAGCCAAAAAAAGGGAACTTCACATAGATTGGACACGGCGCATATCAGAAGAATTCTATGAACAGGTATTCAACAGTTGTTCATCACTTCTGTTTAGCTTGTTTTGATTCTATACAACATGGATGCTTTCTTTATTTTCCCTTTACAAATGCACATTATTCAGACTTAAATGGTTCAAAATTTGATTTTTCCATTCTAGATAAAACTTGTACAAAAACAAAATCAGACTCTGTCTCCTGTGTTGATTGGTTAATTTATAAATTTTGTCATAGCATCATATTCTAATGAAATTTTGGCTTTTGCGTTTTGTCTTTTTTTGTGGCAACATTTTTATTCATTCAACCGTATTCCCTTTGTATTTCAATTTGGTAAAAAGGAACTTCCATTCATTTCATAACTTCTTCCCAAGGGTTGCTACTTTTGTGGAGCAAACTCCTAAGAGGATGCTTTTTATACATAAATTTATAAAATGTACTAAATTATTAAAATTTTATATATATATATATATATATATATATATATATATATATATATATATGCAGCATTGGATCTTAACATTTATTCCAACTTAATTTCAATAAAAAAAAATAAATAGAAAACATGTATTTGTTTCCTTTCTTTCTTTTTAAATAATTTTATAATTTTAAACTTAATATAGATTAAATTTAAAATTGGTAATTTTTAATTTTATAGTATAATTTAATATTTATTAGTTAGAATGAATTCTACTTTAGTCTAACCCCAACATTAAAGCATTAAATAATTATTATAACCTTAAAGTCCATTGTCAAGTTTTTTGAATTCTCAGATACTTGTATTTTGATTGGTCATTCTTGCTTATGTAACAGGGTTTCCCCTTGCGAGGGATGTTTGATTGATTTGAACCTTTTAAAACCCTTTATTCTACATTCAACATCATCACTTGATAAGACACCAGAAGTGTTAAAACAAAATGGCTATTTTTGTAGTGATTTTATAACATATTTATGTTATAATTATTGAATAAATAATTATATTTGCTCTACTCTGTATTGAGTACTCTTTTAAGAATAGTATTTGTTGGTTATTGGAATTTATTCTGTATACACCAATCCTATACTTGGGTGTGTATGTGTATATATATATATATATATATATATATATATATATATATATATATAAAAACTTACAATCATATCATGTTGAAACATTAGTTCTCATATGAACACCAAAGTTAAGCTACATCACCTAGATGGCTAACCACTTGAGAATACCAGCTGCTATAAGTTGGGGTGTGTGGGTGGTGTCATGGATAATGGCTCGGAATTGGAAATCATAAACCAGAGTTCTGATTCCAGTCAGATTTATTATATTCACATATGTGCAAGTATCCTTTTGATAGGTATGAATCCAACTCTTCTCCCCCGAGCTATGGGGTAATTAGTAGAAGTTGTGTAAGTAAATCATTATCTCAAAAAAAAATCTTACAATATTTTCTGACTTTAAATAACCTATTAAATTTCTTTGTTTCTGAGATAAGGTGTTATTATCAACACTTTTATCCACTGAGCCATGTTAAGTAGTCTGAAAGTGATTTCACCCAAAGAGTCAGGAGTTCAATACCTGGCCACAGCAGTGGTGAACAAAATCATGAAGATTTGAGTTACTAACGAGAAATAACTGAAACTTAGATATCCAGAAAAGGCATGTCATGTGGAACTAGAACAATCTATCCCAATGGACGAAATAAAGGGTTTGGTTCAAAATTCCAACTTGTATCACCTGAAGACGGCCAGAGTGTACAACGGCCAAAATATTGTGAATATTACAATAAAGATGAGGACAACAGTTCAAATGATGTAAACCTGTTAAATGCTGATAAGCTGTTAAATCAATCGATCAACCTTGATGACTACAATCTTAACCTCTTTAAGTCTAGGGTCAACTATTATCTATCCTATATATCCTCATAACCTACATTTACTTACCCACCGCCTATGTCTATAAAAAACTGCACTTAGTAACCCTGCTCTTTCTTGGGTGTTGTATTGGGTGAATATTTGGTAATAAAAAAAAAGTTGTGACAAACGCTTGGACTACTCCTGTAGTGCAACTTTTCTTGTTGCTTTCTGTACACATTTCATATTGAGAGTTTGGGACAAAGGAATAAACCACCTTAATTCTGCATGTTTTTTTTTGTTTTTTTTTATTTTAGGGTGATGAAGAGGCCAGATTAGGTATGCCTATCTCTCCCTATATGGACAGGTGTAATGGTCAACTGGCTAAACTGCAAGAATCCTTCATTAATCACTTGGTCGCTCCTCTCTGCAATAGCATGGTATCTGCCGGTCTTGTCCCAGGGACATGGACTGATTTGGAAGAGGAAGGTAATTTTTCTTTTCTGTTTTCCTATTATACAATAAACTCTGTATTTTCTTTTGATAATAGCCAAAAGTGTCATCATGGAAAGAATGCCATCAACCATCATTAAATGGAAAAAGCCTCAAAAGTGCCAAGAAAATTTTCCTAAAAACAGTTTGTTCTCATTTATTGCACTCATTGACATTACGTTTGATTTTTGGTGTTTTCTATATATATATAAAATGGACAAAGTCCGACAATTATTTTTTAAGATATTTCTTATGTTTATGTTCTTTTTATAGATACAAATATTTAAGTAAATTTCTATGAAAATTTCTCGGACATTCAGGCTGGTAAATGTTGTTTAATACTGTTTATTATAAACAGAGCATTTACTTAAATATTTGTATCTATAAAAAGAACATATAAACATAAAAAATGTCTTTAAAAAATAATTGTCGGGCTTTGTCCATTTCATAATGTGACGTTGTTTGTTTACATTTGGATACACATTGAGCAGATATGAATATACGTGAGAGAATCATGGAAGATTGTGTTTAAAAACAGTAAAATCGACCTTGCTAATCGAACGCTCCTCTGTGGCCCAATCGGTTAAGGCGCATCAGGCTATATGACGGTTCCGTATAGGATACAGGTTCAATTCCTGTCAGAGGACGCATATTTTCTATGAAAATTTCTCAGACATTCAGGCCAGAAAATGTTGTTAATACTGTTTATTATAAACATAGCATTTACTTAAATATTTGTATCTATAAAAAGAATGTATAAACATAAATGTTTTAAAAAATACATTAAAATATATATATATATATATATATATATATATATATATATATATATAAATTAATTGATTTAAAATGTTTTTTTTGCTGCACAGTTCTAACCACGTTTCAAAAATGGAAGCGAATTCGCTTGAGGATGAAATGGAACTAATGTCTTTAATTTAATTACAAAATTAAATTCGAAGCTTTCAGGTTCCATTTTTGAAACTTGGTTAGAACTGTGTAGCAAAAAAAAAACATATTTTAAATCAATTAATTTATAATATTAATGCTCTGTAAATTTACATTGAGCACTATTTTTTAAAAATAAAAATATCTATAAGAACACCGGATTATATATCTTACTGTTTTTTCTTTTTTTATATATATATATATATATATATATATATATATATATATTATTTTTGATAAGGGTTTTGTACTTTTTCAGATTTATCAGATAGTGAAAAAGGAGATATTTGTAAAGATACTGAAGAAGAAACTGACCAAGACATGGGTAAGGTTCCTTTCATAAGATGTGTGCTGTGTTTTATATTAACCAAAATCATTTGAACTGCTTAAATGCTGATTGTAACAATCATATTTTTCTTGCAAAATGGAAAACAATTTTTTAGGCATAGTATTTTAAAAGTTAGCCACAAAATCTGATTTGAATTTGCTATAACAAATTTTTTTCTTCCAGAAAGTGAATAACTTTTCATAATGAGTTGGCTGAAAGAAAGATGTAAAGTTGCATGCAGGAATTTCAAAAAACCAAAACAGATTCTCAGCAAACACATTTTGTTTTTTGTAAAGATATTTTGAGATTATCAGAAATGATAAATTTGGTTTACTTTTTTTCGTTTATTTATTTATTTTTTTTTTTTTTTTCATTTATTGCAGGTGGTCCAGTGATAGCTAAAAAGACAAAGACTAGAAAAGTGAATTGTATTCTCACCAAAAACCTTAAGGAGAATTATGAAATGTGGGTAAGCAAAATAAAGGAAGAAGAAAAGTTAAATGCACTTCCTACTGCTGAAGAAGAGGAGGAGGAATTAGAGGAAGAAGACACGGTAAGTATAAAAAGCTTTTTAAATGGAATTTCTAGGAGCAACACTGACAGGGAGTGGGGAATAAAAATGGTGTGGGCGTAATCATGAAAATACTGATTGTCTATTTTAATGACACATAGATATTTTGGAATTAATGAAATGTTTTTGAACTTTAATCTTATTTCTTTCAACTTTGTAATTAACATTTTCTTTTTTCTTTTTCTCCCTCTCTAAACCTCCACTTTTTGTGCATGACAGATGGCAGCCAAAAGCTTGGAATGCAGTGAAATGAAAGCAGAGATGGAAGCCATCAAAGAGGAAAGTGAAAGCTGTAGCACACCAACGTTGGCATCAACGGCAGCGTATTCACAATCAAGTTCTCATGTCACACCTGTATCGTCGTTATCATCATCATCGTCGTCGTCATCATCATCATCCACTCACACTGACTCATCTTCATTGCCATTAACACCATCCCAAAAACAGCTCCGTTCTCCACCAAAGACTTGAGCAGTAGTCAGAGAAAACGGCTGTCTCCCATCTCGATGGGGACAAGGATTCTTATAATTTTAATGAAGATAATTATTTTATGAAAAGAATGAAAGGGGCAAAAAGAGAAAATCAAGCAGAGAAGGAAAAGAATAATGAGTTTATGGATGGACTGCTGCCCTCTCCCCTATTAACGTTAATCCCTCTCACCTATTAAATCAGTCTGTCGCCCCCACAACAGCATTTTGATTTCTGCTAATAGATTGGTTTAAGCAAAGTTGGTGCGAGTGAATGCAGGTAGTGTTCCTGCAGAATGCATTCACATCTACCCTCATCAACGTCTACATAAGCCAAATATTTCAGGGAAAACTACAGTATTCTCCTGTGCTCCCCTGCCATTTGTCTTATATATTTACATCCCCTGCTCATATACAGGCTCTGTCTGACCCCCAAACCTCATTGTTAGAGGGAGAAACAAAGGATTGTCTCTTAACTCTTTCAAATATCTTTTAGCCACTGTGTTTATCCACTGTGTTTATCTGGGATTTTTTTTTGTCTTGTAACAGACCATCAAAATTTTGCCTTTTTATTTCCTCAATTGTTTTGAACCTGTTAATCCCTGGATCAAAGTGTCAGCCTTTTACTCTTTATCAATTGAAATGCATCAATTATTCGGCACTCATTAGGGCTGATTGTGATCTACATTAGATCACTGACCAATTGGCATTCATTTGAAAAGCAGTCAGCCCATAATCTGTCTCTTCAAAATCAAAGGGAGATGTCAGATTAAAAAAAAAAAAATTAATTCCCTTGCCCTCAACAAATAAAATCAAATTTGCAATTATGGCTTGTTCTAATATTTTTCTAAATTTCCAACAAAATTGATCATTTATTTTTAAAACCAGATACAAAATTTAGTTAGAATAAAAAGTGACAGATCTGCTCCCTTTATTCTTTTTAGATATTTAACTATTATACAGGTTGGGTGTGCGGGGGGGATACAAAAATAAAATCAAAGGCTTTTTTCCAAAGTTGTCTGCTGTGGCTGTGGATCATATGTGATAATGATAATCTTTTTTTTCTTTCCTCTGAACCCTGTTTAACTTGTCTATTTGAAAAACCATGGGTGTAAGGTTGTTAGTTTGTTTTTTTTTTTTTGTTTTTTGTTTTTTTAACTTTTCTCTTTTTTTTTCTTGATGACCCCCCCTCGCTCTTCATAAAGCTTCTTTTGTGTAATGACATATCATCATCACTAATTAAGCTGTATTTTTCTGTGGCATGAAAGCCGCAATCATTTCAGAAGAAAGGGTTGAAAGCTGTTGTCCTCACCCATCCCTATCGACACTTCTACCAGCATCCTCCATGACTAAAATCTATTCATTATCTTTGTCAAAAAGCAATCATAAAATATTTCAACTCTTCAACCCTTTCTCTTGCTATGTTTTTCAGTTTTGTCATTCATATTAAATTTTTAAAGGGAACTTTTTTGTACACCGAAAGATTTTTTTTTTTTTTTCATACATATATATTTCTAGATTTTCCTCAAGGAGAGAAAAGAATGAAGTGGCCCCTTGGGCAAGATGGAATATACCCTTGTTTGCTATTTGAATGTGATATTTGTAGCTTTTCCTCTTTCAGGGTGGAGGCTCGGGGAGTCTGTCTCTCTAACTTGTCATGAGAGCTGGGTTGTGTTCCTAATTCCAAGACACACACACAAACATACACACAGCCAGACATAATGGTGCCTTGAGTGATTCTAGATTCTCTGCTCTTGACTTTCACACATTTTACTAAATTACCAAATTACTAATAAAAATGCTGACCTCCCACTCTCACCCGCCCCACCCACCTGTTTCCACTAAACAAGATTCACTCTTCTATGACTGTGATCTTTAATCTCCATGAGACAAGTTTTACAACTAGAAAATAGTTTAGGATTATTTTCTAACTGGTTGCTGATGACATTCAGATTATTTTTTTTTTTAATTTATGACTTGATAACAGTAGTGGAAAAAATTACAACAAATAAAAATTCTATGAACTAATTGAACCCCTCCCTCCCACCTCCACTTCCCTGTGATCAAGAGAGTTGACAAAAACTCTGTAGGTTTGACAATCAGTTTCCTTTCATTCATACAATTGCTGATGTCAGACATTTTAAAAATTTTGTATTATTTTAAAAAAAAAGAATATTCTTAAATCTTATATTGGTTGTACAAGAAATTAATTTCACCCTCTGTCAACTAAAGTCACATGTCATTCATACTCGTATATATAAATCTCTCTCTCTCTCTCTCTCACACACTCACACACACACACATGGATTGTAATTTTGTTTCCATAGAAATCAACCATTACCTCATGAGTTCCATTTCTTTCAATCCTACATTTAAATGCTTTCTCCAGTATTGAATTTCCCATTAGAAATAATAATAATAATAATAAGTATAATGTTCTTGACGTATGAACCAGGAAAAGAGGGACCAGTAAAGTGAGGAGGGGGAACTAGTTAAAAAAATAAATAAATAAAAGTAACCTAAATTACAGAAACACATGCTTTTATTATTGCAACAATGACAAACATTTTTGACTTGATTGTACAAATACTAAAGTCACTTTAGGGAAATGCAGATTCAGGCTTAAATTTAATCCAGGCTTAAATTGGTGTTTGTGATATTTTTTTAGAAAACTTAAACACTACAGTAAAAATATATTCTTAAGGAATGTAAATTCTCTTGTCTTATGAACAAAGAAAATGGAGAACTTACTAAAAGAGTGTGTGTAAAGCAAGTGGCATCTTTATTGAAGCTGTATTGTCTTACAACTCTTCTGCAAAAGCTGAAATCATTTTCACGTTTTGCTTCTAGCTAATCTATAAGTTTGCTTAAATCAAACAATATTTTTCATATGTAAGCAGAAAACTTCCCTCCTTGCAATGTCCAAAAGGAAGAATATCTACTTCAAAGACTTATATAAAGGCTTCAATTTATTCATTTTCAAACTGGCTAATTTCTTAAGAGAAATATATATATATATATATATATATATATATATATATATATATATTCCTAGAAACCGATCAGCTTTACCATTCAGCACTCTATAGCAAATAAAAATCTTTCATTTACAGGTATGTTCTTTTTTGCTATAGTTCTTAATTGTTGGTATTTTCTTTATGGGTCAGGGAAGCCAGCCTTTATCTCTCTCAAATTATAACATAAAAAATGTACTTGTATTAAAATGAGACAATTATTACTGCTACCAGGTTCTTAAATTGCAACAAATTTGAATTTTATTTTAGCACTGAGAGAATCACTTGAAAATTCTCTGAAGCTTTCATTAATTTTCTTATGAGAAAATGTAAATTTCTTTTTAAATCCATAACAATTGACTCTTCACCACAAATATTATTAAACAGTGACTAGGTATCTTGGCAAAATTCTAATCCATTTAGAAAATGCTGATAGCAAAATGTTTATTGAAAATATAAAGTTTAAATTTGTACTTGATATTTTTATTTACATTATCTGAAAAGCTATGGAATTCTCGGAAAAAATTACTCTGGCTATTTTCCCAGAACTCCAAAGTTACTTACAGCTGATCTAATTCTTATTTGGGCTAAATTTCTTGTTTTCTCAAAGATTTGAGGAAGAATTGGAATTTATCTGCTAAGTCATTGCTGTTTTTCAGGAGGCATTGACTTTAGCGTTCCCAATGAAGTGGATTTGGAGTGGGGGGGGGCCTCTTGGGAATAGCTTCAGTTTGACATGGACATTTTAGCCTTAAGTGCAATGAAATGTTAAGTAAATTTCAATGAGCTAATATGGCACCAGTAAATACAAAAAGAGACAATGCAAGTAAATGAATCAAGGCTGGACTCTCAATATACTCTACCTTTTAGAGTTGTTATATATATATATATATATATATATAAGTTTGTAATCCTGGGTTTCATCAGACAATCAGTTTCACTGATGATCACAAAAGTGTGAAACCCAGGGTTACAAACTAATATCCATGTAGCTGAATATGTTAGCTTTATCACATATATTGAGTACTTTCCACTACCACGCATATAAAAAAAATGTTTATATATATATATATATATATATATATACACACACACACACACCAAGTACAGGGTTGGTATAAATGGAATAAAATTCCGATAACCAAAAACACTATTCTTAAAAGAGTGCTCAATACTGACTAGAGCAAATAATATTTATTCAAATTTCTAACAAATTCATGTTATAACATCACTACAAAATTACAATTTTGTTTCAACACTACTGAGAAAATTTTAATGTAGATTTTAAATTTTAGTATATATATTTTTTAGTGTGTGTGTGTGTGTCTATATATATATATATATATATATATATATATATATATATATATATATATATATATATATATACATACTTGCAAAATTTAACTATTCTCACATGTTAGAAACTTTCTTAAATAATTTTTTTTTTCTATCATAGAAAAATGTCTATTGAACTCTCCTCCCCTTTCGCCATAGTCACAGGAAAAAAATTAACCACTGTCAAATCATCTAACAAATGTTTAGTAAACTTATTTCTCTTTTCATCTTAAGTCAACTTTCAGATTTTGTTTGCATCATAAGAGATTCTCTCAATATTGGATGAAGATTTTGAATGTAGAATTCTTGAAATGGCTTTTCATGCTCATTGTTAGTTGTAAATTTAACATTGTCTGGCTCATTTGTATTTATCTAGTGTCTAATTTATTCACACGTCTAAAATGTTTTTTAAATAAATCCTTTCTGATATAAAACCATTGTTAATGTACATTTTGCTTGCATCTCTTGTGATTCTTTTTACTGAGATGTCTTGAACTGAAAAATCAGTTTCCTCAAAAAAAAAAAATTAACTTAAATTATGACCTGTTTCATTGAACTGAGAAAATTTTAAATGCTCAGCTTGAAACCACGGTTTTGGGGGATGAGGAATTCTTTTAGTTTAAAATATCTTTGGATTAAGAAGGCACCCGAACCCCTTCTGATGATATTCAATTACATCCTTGTTTAATTAATTCTTCCTTTTACTTAACAGATTAGGGATGCTAAATTCTAACAAAATTATCTTTACATAATCTTTTTTTTTTTTTTGTTTTTCATTGCTTAATCATGAGCATAATTGTAATTCAGGTAAAAAGCAGTATTATTATAAATTCTTACTAAATTCACAGATTTTAGTTGACTTTCCTTTTGTCAAGTGACTTTTATTCTTTTGTCCATTGATAAACTGTTTGATAAGCCATCACAACTGGTGATGAGAGGGGAAAAAAAAACCTCCCCTGCAAACAATGAATTCTCTTTAAAGATTAAATCCTTTAACACCAACATTGTTTTGCATCTTAACTTTTATAAAAGTTGGTTTTTGTCTACATCTGAACATTGCAAGACATTTAATCCCACTTCATGTATTTCCCACTCCCCCACCACCACCACCACTCCTGGCAGCTTCCCTTCCGACCCACTCACCCACCACACTTTTTGGTTTTAATGGACATTAAAGTTAGGTAAAATGTAATTGATGGCTAATTGCCTTTGTTTTATCTGTCAGTATTTCTTGATCCCTGGAACACTGACATTGGTCTTAATTCTGTCCACATTAAAATTTGCTGACTTGGAGATTTCAATTTGGAAACTTAACATTTAGAGAAAGATTTTTCTTTTTAATTATCAGGAGTTTCTTTAAATGAAATTATATTTAATCATTTAATTAACTTTTTTTACAGAAACTTTCCATTCAACAAAAATTTCTGGCTAATCTGGATTCGTGATAAATCTTTTTAATCCCCCAAATTTCAACCAGAAAAAATGTTTCTACCATGTTCGGTCTGAATGTAAATTTTTTTTTTTTTTTTTTTGTTTCAGTCTTTCAAAATTTTCTTTATTAAGAATTTTGAATAGTTCCTTTTTAGGATCATGAAAAAGATGGCTGGCTGCAAGGTTAAATGGAATTTAAATTAATTTCTTTCATGAAACTAAACTGAATTTAGCTTGAGCAAAACTAAATTTCTTTTAAAGCACCTTTTTTTTTCTTTAGGAAAAATTGTTTCCTTGATATCCCCCCACCTCCCAATCCCAGGAAAATTGCCTTCAACATTTTTTTTTTCAATCTGTGATAAGTTCTCTCATTTTTAGTGTCAGACAAATGTTTTAATTACTGACAGGTGAAATTATTAAGATTGGTTAGGATCATTCTTTTTCTTCTTTTTTCTTTTCTTTTTTCTTTCTTTCTTTTCTTTTTTTCTTTTCTTTTTTCTTTCTTTCTTCTTTCTTTTTTTTCTCTTCTTTTTCTTTTTTTTCTCTTCTTTTTCTTTTTTTTCTCTTCTTTTTCTTTTTTCTTTTTCTTTTTTTTCTCTTCTTTTCTCTTCTTTTTTTTTTTTCTTCTTTTTTCTTTCTTCTTTTTTTTTTTTTTTTTTTTTTTTTTTTTTTTTTTTTTCTTTTTTTTTTTTTTCTTTTTTTTTTTTTCTTTTTTTTTTTTTTCTTTTTTTTTTTTTTTTTCTTTTCTTTTTCTTTCTTTTATCTACTATGAAATATTTCCTTCCAAACTGCAAATATTTTTCTTAGTTATTGTCTACTTCATTTGGAAAATTCAAATTACCTTCCATACCTTGAGGATTCCTATTCGGGTGAATATTATGGATTCTAAAGATTTCTTTTTATAGAATTGTTCTTTCAAATGAATAAGAGTATGCAAAGTTCAATTAAGTATTGCTATTTTCAAACTTGTTTCAGGCGACCGACTCTGATGCCCAACATCAAAGTTCAATGCTTTTTCTGTAGACATGTTACTTTCAGAAAATTTTCTTCAAACTTCTTTGACTATTATCTGGTTCTGTTCTTTTGCAATGATTATAGAAATAGAATTACTTTTCCAATCTGAAATTGTTGGCTTCATTCAGTTTAACATGATAGTTTCATATTTAAATAACCTTTTCTATTTCTTTTTCTTTCTGTCTCATCTTTTTGTAGCTTCAGATGATATAGAACTATTTTCTAAATGTTTCTTTGCAGCTGTCATTAATGAAGACTGCTTATTGTGATGTAACGTTAGTTTCTTTTGAAGAGTATAAAGCTTCCAACTTTAACCATGTACAGTCGTTTGGCTCTAAACCTGTCAATCCATTGGATTCTCTTCTGAAAATCAGTCTCTGCTGCTGCTGCTTTTTACCTGTTAGCATAATTCCATACAGCCACATTTGTCTTACACATTTTCTACTTGGCTAAAAAGAGAGAAGGAAAAAAATGCAACGTCTAGCAACAATTTAGCTGTTATTTTTATTCCCCACTCCCCCCCCCAAATCTCCATTTTCAATATTTTTGAAAGTGCAATAAATATTTGATTGTATTAATTCTTGAGATCTTATTGGTCAATGCCATGTCAACCGTTTTCCAGATTTGTGCGCATGTCTCATTGCTGCAAAACAAGAGGATGTTTTCTTTCTCTGCTTTCTCTTAATACCTTTCCTTCTTTTATTTATATTTTTATGATCACTGCAATGTCACTGATCAAATATTTGTACATATTTGTAACATGTAACATGTATAAACGGCTGTGTGACTGGAAAGAATCCATCCCCCCCCCGTTTTTTTTTTTTTTTTTTTTTTTTTTTTTCTGTTAAAAAGTAATGACTAATAATTTAACTGAAATTTTGTTGTCTCTCTCTCTTATCAACAGCTGAGCCATTTATTAATGACAGGAGTTTTATAAAATATCAAAACTGCACTGTCAGTAAACCACCTTCTCTTGCCATATTTGAAGTCTGTCAATTCATGGACTAAAATCAACAAACACTTCACGTTGCTTATTCTCTCTCACTAACACTTTCTCTCACCCTGACACACACACACTCTCACTCACTTACTTTCTCTCTCTCTCTCTTGCACTTACTTTCTCTCTCTCTCTCTTGCACTTACTTTCTCTCTCTCTCTCTTGCACTTACTTTCTCTCTCTCTCTCTTGCACTTACTTTCTCTCTCTCTCTCTTGCACTTACTTTCTCTCTCTCTCTCGTTCTCTCTCTCTCACAAAAAATTTTCAAGTGAAGGATATGCAGATTCTTCGTGGATTGATTAACTTTTATGGCAGAAAATTGTCTAAAACAAAAAAGAATTCCACAGTAATTATAAGTCGTTACCTTTTGTGAGAAAATGAATGCAACTAGATGTGTGTGTGTGTGTGTGTGTTGAATGTACAAGAGAAAGCATTTCTTTTGCTTTTTCCTCCATAATAGAACATAATGGACAAAGAGCAGTCTATGGTCTCTTTTTTTTTTTAATTTAAAATGTGACAAAGAAAATCTACATTCTCTTTGTGTTCAGGTCACTCAAGAAGTGCTGTATATGGCACTTTTTCTTCATCCTCCTCCATCCCTTCCTTCATCGATCCCTTGCCCCGCTTCACCCCCTCCCCTTCAGTCTTTCCTGATTGCTGCTGTCTATATAATTGGTGGTGCTATTTATAAGTTGCCCATCCAATGTCCACAGTGCTTTAGTGTCAAGCAGGACATCTTTATCTTGCTAGATGATTTTAGATCCAATAAACCATAACTGCTGCTGCTACCCTTTTTTTTTTCTTTTTTTTTTTTCTGGCTCCTTGAACCCCTTATCAATGTGCCGCCACTTTTAATCCCCTTCTTACCTGTCCCATTGCAACTCAGGAGACAATTCTATTGGCGCAACCCCCTCACCACCACCATGCCTTTTTCAACTAAAATGGCTTTTTCTCTCCCCCCCCCCAATTCCCTCTATTTCTCCTTCCCTACTTTTCATTTCTCCATGATGGACTTAAGGTGATAAATGTTGTTTTCTTGACGCGCTCTCGTTTAACATTCACCATTTCTTTGACTACCCAGCATTTTTGAGCTGTGAAAGAACCAGGATGTACTTTACTATGTTATCAAGAAATAATTATAAATGAATATTATGATTTAATAAAATTGTCTCTGAAAAGACTTTCAGAAATTCAAGACTTTTTTGTTTGTTTTCTCTCCCCCCCCACACACACACATTTTCTTAAACAGTGAAATTAATAACCATCCTAGATCAATAAGTCCTAAAGAAAATTGTGCCTCCCAACTTGTATTCCTATTTTTTCCATCAGGGAAACCACATCTATAAGGAAAGTGTTATAGTCTCCTGTGGCCAAATTGGTAACATCTTGATAAAGTACTATTACTGAAGCTTCCAAAGATATAGATCAGTATGAATCCCAACAAGCGATGTGTATTCTTTACATAGGTAAATTGAAAATTGCTTTATCAAGATTGTCTCTGCTGGCTAAATTAGTAATGTTATGTTTCAGCTATTGGAGTGGTTTAACTTATAGAAAAAGGAAAGCAAGGTTGCTTCTTGTAAGGAAACACATTTTCTCCATAACTTCTTAATCTATGCTAGGAGACATTAATTTCATTGAACAAGGTTTATAGTAACAAACAGAAAAAGCATTTAAAATATTGTTTTACAATTTGACAGGAAGAGAAAAACTAAAAACACTTTCCTGCCTCTGTGACATTCCACCCCACAAAAAACCCATTCTTAGGTCTACAAAGGAGATGCACTGAGTGAAGAACAAGAGAAAATAGAAAGTGCAAAGCTGTTGCATTCAATTTGTAATAATAGTCTTGATAAAAGACATGAATCCAACCAGCCACCCACAACGTATAGGTAACTACATTTTTTTAAATAGTAGGGTAGATTGAGCTCATTGTACTTGATAGAACAAGCAGTCCAAAAGAATAAAAACTGAATTTAAATATGAAATAATGTACAGTTCCGGACTCTGTTTCTAGACAGATTCCTTCTCCAAGGTAGATGCATTTTCCTTACACAAATTTATATCAGCATAAAAATTAAAATCTCAACATTTAACTAAATCAGTAATTTGAGTTTTCTTTATAACTTAAGTAATTTTCATTTTTGCTAATTATTTTTAGCATTTAAGAAAAATAAAAATGTATTTTATATCAACTCAGAAAACAATTCAGTTGCAATCATTTTTTTTCTTATTAGAAACTTAATTAGAATAAATTCATCTTTTATTAGTTTTGTCAATAAGACAAATTTAAACGAATTCAAGAATTCAAATATCTGAATAAAAATCTAACAAACTTACGCAACATTGAAATGTGACAAAACCTTTTAGAGACTTTATGTAAAATAAAAAATAAAAAAACTTTTGTAGGTTATTTAGAACCAGAAAATATTTTTAGATTATGAGAATTTTTCTGAGATAATGATTTACTGAACAAGTCTTACTAATTAACCCATAGCGGGAGAAGAGGAGGTAGATTCATACCTTTCCCCAATGGTATTTGCCCATAAGTGAATACAACGAACCTGACTTGAATTAGAACACTTTCAATTCCAAACTGTTATCCAAGTAGACAGCATATGGTATTCCCAAGCAGTCAATTCAGTGATCGTACAAGATCCAGTGTGACACGGCCATATTGTTTCAAGAGAAAAAGAATCGTTAAACATACAATATGGTTTTTAAAATTAAGAAATAAATAATAAAAACTTTGGTTACCCAATCTCCTTATAAAATTATAGTGCATTCCCCTTAGCATGTCTTAGTACAATAGTGAGATACTCTGCCTAAAGATAAATCTTAATTAAATATGCTGATATTAATTTATTTGTAAAATAATTCTTAAAAGAGAATTCTAATTGCTTCTGATGATGATGATGCCTGCCATCAATTAAATAAAAATTTGGCAAAAATGGAAGAAATGTGACTGAAGTAAAAGAATTCACTTAAATCTCAATCTGTTGGTAAAGCAAACGAAACTAATTGAATCATTGAGATCTCAAACTCCACATTTCTTTGATATAAGGAAAATTAATGGGAAAAAAAATTTTGTGCTGTGTTTCATCCTTTAAGAATTCATTGGTGATGTAACTATATATGCGCATGAAGGAGAGGAGACTAAAATTTTAAACTTAAATTTTTTTTTTCTATGTCTTTGGAGATATATATATATATATATATATATATATATAACCAATTACATTTAGTTTCTTTTTGCTTGTTTGTTTGTTTGTTTTTTAAATCAATTTTGTTATGAAGTGATAAGAAATCTGCATTAATTGATATTAAACTAAAAATTTCACAGGAGAAAAGCAATAAATTCCAATGCCATTTATGCCCTGAAACAGAATATTATTAATAATAATCAGATTGCGATAAATATTGTTGCTGAATGGCAAGAATGAGCGACAGAAAAAGAAAAGCCAATGTATTTTCCGAAAAGATGAAAGAAAATTTAGAACTGACAAAACAAAGGACATAAAATTGAATAGGCTTTGATTTTTAAGTAAAATAAGCCATTCCTTTATTTGGTAACTGGAGTTCTATTCTGTTCAAGACAACTTTCATTGTCAATTGTATTCGTTCTGCTAAATCTGGAAAGGGACAAATGTACACTTTGCAAGTGATACAAAATAAAAGTGACTGTTAGAGAATTAATAAACTGGTAATTAACATGTCCATTCCAGAATGTGTGAGAAAACTCGTTCTTTCCATTGATGGCTAAAGGAGAAAAGCCATAACCATATAATGATGCTGTCTTTCCAGCCTTTAGTTTAATCTCAGCCTGCTTCAATCGAGCATCATAGAAAATAACTAAGATAGAGAAACGACCAACACCATTCACTAACATTCTAATCAGACATCCCATAATTCCCTTATTCAATAATAATAAAGATGTCTTACAACAAGTAATCGTCTTTCCTCTATCTTAATTTAATTGTGTATCTCAGTCCAATACAGTAGTACATTTTATAAAATGGTGTCAGAAATTTAAAATTCACAACCCACAGAATACAATATTCTGTATATTTACTAGCTTAAAAGCCACCCTATCAGTTGGTATTAAAGCTAGCTCCTGCGGACGGCTCTTGATTGGGCCTTGATCACAATAGGTAGGGAGGAGTAGATGTGATAGGCAACAATAACTTACAGAAGAATTCAAAATTGATTACTGCATTTAAGTATTGCATTAATATTTAAGCTTACCTTTTAAAAGGTTAATTTAAAGACAATTTGATGTACGTAGGTCCTTACTTTCCGTACAAACAATTATTTTTATTTCATGGATGACTTTCGCTGGATTTCACAATTAATTTTATTTATTTCCAAAAAATTTGTTACTGTACAAAAAAAAAAATCTCATAATAATAATATTGCTGAAAACAACCACAGTAATGAAAACTTGAGAATACAAAATTTCAGGACTGTGGGTCTGGATCCAGACAGGAAAGTTTTTAATTTGCTCACAGAGTTGGCCAGATTCCAAAATGGTATATGTTGGGCTACAGCCTCTAGGAGTAAAGTTGAAAAAGTGTGACAGTGACATATATATATATATATATATATATATATACATACACACACACACACACACACAAGAAAATCTTGCATGTGTGGCAAAAATGAGTTTAACCACAAGTTGCTCGCAACTGAGTATGACAGGGAAGGTAAATACCTCAAAGAGGGGGAGGTAGCTAATGGAATGTAATTTTTAGTAATGTTATGATATTAATATATAATTTATCAATGGTTGCCACAATCTATTGGTTTGCAAAGTCCAAATCAAGGGGCACAGTTATCTACCATGAAAAAGATGAAAGCAGAGCAACTGTTAAGATGTCCGCTGCCTTTGAATGAGACGATAGCCAAGAGGTTTGAAGTGAAATCAATTCTTTCAATTGTTGGCTTAAGAGGTTGCATAAGAATTCTGTCTTTACAAAAACCATCTCTGTTCTCATATGTACAAAAGTGATGAATGCTAGAATAAAGCGTGCTGTGATGATTTGGTTTGATGAGGTAAGGAGAAAGAAAAGATAAAAATATTAAACAATATTTAAATGCTGATATATGCAACATATTCCTGATGAAGTAATAAAAGCATTTTGCATGAAACATTTTGGGCAAGGGAATGACAACATCGAGAAAAAAAATGATTAATGGCATTATTTACGTAATTATGTGTCATTCTGAGAAAGAACAACAGTTTTATTGACACGATCAGTTTCATAAATGAAAAGAAGGGAAAAGTTGGTGGACGTTAGAATTATAGAAAAAAAATAGTTTATATAGAACTGATAAAACTATAGAGATACTCAACATGTAAATTGAAATTTTGTCACCCAAGGTGTGTCTAGATGTTCAACCTGGCCAACTTTGATGACATCCCTTCTCTATACTGATACCATCAATGTGAAGATGTACAAATTGGAAATCTGCTGCAGACTGTAGGTACATACTGGCTTGAGATGTGAAAACTGGACCCAGATTCAGGTACCTTTTCCATTTCTCCAGATGAGCAGGTTCGATGGAAACAGTTTCTGGGGCTCATAGCAATATCTCCAGGCTTGCTTGTGTGTCACCACAATTGTGCCATGGAAGCAATGGAGTGCTACCAACATTGCTGACAACTCTCCAAGTCCAGGTTTGAAAATA